AAGGTGTGAATGTGGCTTTGTTGGTATTAGGTTGGTCCAGCTAAGGTGTGAATGTGGCTTTGTTGGTACTAGGTTGGTCCAGCTAAGGTGTGAATGTGGTTTTGTTGGTATTATGATAGTCCAACTAAGGTGTGAACTAGGCTTTGTTGGTACTAGAATAATCCAACTAAGGTGTGAATTGGGCTTTGTTAGTATTAAGATGATCCATTTAAGGTGTGAATGTGGCTTTGATGATACTTGGTTGGTCCAGCTAAGGTGTGAATCTGGCTTTTTTGATATTAGGTTTGTCCAGCTAAGGTGTGAATGTGGCTTTGTTGGTACTAGGTTGGTCCAGCTAAGGTGTGAATGTGGCTTTGTTGGTACTTGGTTGGTCCAGCTAAGGTGCGAATGTGGCTTAAGAACACTGGCAGTAAAGAGACTTTCAGATTTAACATGACTGTTTCATTTAGATAATTTTTCAGGTCACGTATAAGGTCAGTCATGGCATGTGAAAGAGGCCTTTTTTTTATAAATGTTTAAATTCAGCAGTTAACACAATTAATAAAATTAATTTTAAGTTTTGTTCGGTCAGAAAAAGTTTATACTTCTTTTCCTAAAATATTCACATTTGTGTAGTTTTTCAACAATCATTGTTACAACTTCTCTGTACGACAAATTTGAAATCAGGTAAACCTGGTGTTTAGTGGTCTCAGCCCTTAGACCTACAGCTCAGCTACTTGGGAGAAGGGGAGACATTGCTTAATGTATTTTGTTGTTTAGCTCAGTATATATGATCATACCTGCTAACCTGTTCTCTGTCATTCCTTTCATGTAATACTTCAGTTTTAAATAAAAACGTTTGATAAAATAAAAAGAGTTTAAAATATACATTTATTATTCCAAGATAATTACAAATGCAGACTTTTATAACACGTGAAATGTTTTTATTTCTGAAGCTTTATGTTAAATTTGAGCTGCAAAAGTTTGAATAATTCTAAAAAAAAATTCATTCACATTAATGAGGGGTTCATAATTTACTACATCTTTGACATTTTTTTTTAAATTCTTGGTTCAGAATATCCAGAGAAATCACCAGAAGAACGTAGATTTGGATTTTATAAGATTTAACAATGTAATTTCCATTGGCCTGCAAAAGCAGCACACTGGACCATTGATTTTCATTCTTAGCTCAAAGAATGTAAGTAGCCTCACCTGAAAATTAGATAACAATCAGTACTTGGATATCACATTTATTCTATAAATAATCTCTCTGATATAATAAAAAGCATGTTGTTGATAACGACAACTTTTTTACTAATCTAGATAGGTGAATATCAAATGACCGTCATACAGATCATAGTAAGAAAATGTGCATCACTTCAAGTCTTTAAGTTATTAACTGATACAAAATAACTTACATGTTAAGAAGGTTCTGACAGCAAGTCTTAGAGAATGTAGCTATTTTATAGACTTAAAATAAGACCCAAAACTCGAGCGCTTTCTATTAGTTGACTAATCTTCTTCAGGAGAACATTATTTAGAAATGCTCTTTTTTTATTAGAAATTCTCAATGAGACAGAAAAATGTATTTTACTCTTTGAGGCATCTTTACCCAATCACCAGCAGAACCTACTTCTGATGGACGTTCAACAGACTTGCTCCAAAATCAGAATGTTTGTTCAGTGTAGGAATGAACAAGTTGGCTACAGAAGTTGTGGTATTACATCACAGTAAGATGATAACAGTTGTGGTATTACATCAGAGTAAGATGATAGCAAGTGTGGTATTACACCACAGTAAGATGATAACAGTTGTGGTATTACATCAGAGTAAGATGATAGCAAGTGTGGTATTACATCACAGTAAGATGATAACAGTTGTGGTATTACATCAGAGTAAGATGATAGCAAGTGTGGTATTACACCACAGTAAGATGATAACAGGTGTGGTATTCCACTACAGTAAGATGATAACAATTGTGGTATTACACCACAGTAAGATGATAACAAGTGTGGTATTACACTACAGTAAGATGATAACAGTTGTGGTATTACACCACAGTAAGATGATAGCAAGTGTGGTATTACACCACAGTAAGATGATAACAGGTGTGGTATTACACTACAGTAAGACGATAACAGGTGTGGTATTACACCATAGTAAGACAATAACAGATGTGGTATTACACTACAGTAAGATGATAACAGGTGTGGTATTACACCACAGTAAGATGATAACAGGTGTGCTATTACATAAAACAAAACAGCAACAAGTAATCTGTATTCTTGTTACTTCATGTTTTTTATTAACCAGTTATGTTTACAGGACATACATCCTCTAGTCCTGTATTATGTTATAACAATATATAATGTGTATTTGGAAATGTTTAGAAACGGATTAACAAAAACAGTAAAACATAAACTTTTTACATTGTTTCTAAACATGTATCCAAGAACTTGTTTGAAAGAAGGTTTAAACCTGGGACAGTGTACTTGAATGGTGTTATTAATAACCTGCATTTGTCAGGTGTTGTTACTAACCTGCATCTGTCAGGTGTTGTTAATAACCTGCATCTGTCTAGGAAGTTTTTTGACAGCATTTGACTTGATGAAGATCTGCACTAGTAGTTTGAAATGTCATCCAATAAACTTCCTAGACAAGACAAAGTGTCATCCAATAAATGTCCTAGACAAGACAAAGTGTCATCCAATAAACTTTCTAGACAGACAAAGTGTCATCCAATAAACGTGGAAGTTTATTGGATGACACTTTGTCTGTCTAGGTAGACAGACAAAGTGTCATCCAATAAACTTCCTAGAAAGGCAAAGTGTCATCCAATAAACTTCATAGACAGACAGTGTCATCCAATAAACTTTCTGGACAATCTATACAAGAAGCACTTATGATAAACTTGAGTGATATGCAATATTACAATAAATATTTGAGAGAAGTGTAATCTTTGTTTTGTAAGTGTAATTAGTGTTCCATCAACAACCACACTGACTTAAAGTGTTAGTGTTCCATAAACAACCACACTGACTTAAGATATCAGTGTTCCATAAACAACCACACTGACTTAAGATATTAGTGTTCCATAAACAACCACACTGACTTAAGATATTAGTGTTTCATAAACAATCAGACTGACTTAAGATATTAGTGTTCCATAAACAATCAGACTCAGGGTATTATTGTCCCATGAATAACTCCAGCAAATCCTAACACTTATTTTCATTTTCAACATGAGAAACAATTTTTTAAAATTGTAGCTTACCATAAGGTTCGGCTAGAAAACATAAGATTTCTACGTAAAAGTAGTAACATCTAAACCGAGGAATTCCAGGGCATTTTTACCCAGCAGTAAATCCTGTGAAGTAAAAAAAATACTACTAATTATAAGTTCATGAAAATGTAGTAATGCCATTAAGAATATGTGCAGGTATTGTTAAAAAGTCATCAATAATGCAAATAAGAATATAGGTATTGTTAACTAGTCATCACTAATACCAATAAGAATACAGCTATTGTTAACTAGTCATCAATAATGTCAATAATAATACATGCCAGTATTCTTAACTAGTCATCAATAATGTCAATAAGAATACAGCTGTTGTTAACTAGTCATCAATAATGTCAATAATCATACATGCCAGTATTCTTAACTAGTCATCAATAATGCCAA